GCATAAAACGGAAATATTTAATTATTTCTTGCGCGACCCGGTACCAATTGGTCCACGGACCGGGGTTTGGGGACCACTGGACTAGGTCATCTAATCACTACATTGCTTGTAGGAATTTTTAATGTGCAGCAGGTGTCGGTATTCAGTGACACAGAACCGACACAGTTTCGCTATGAGTCGAAACGATACGATGCCTCGTCTACCCATCGCTAATCTTTACATCACCAAGGCTCATTAAAACAAACCTTTATCTCAGCTGTTTTCTATTCTTCCTCTTTCTTCTCTCCCTTCCTGAAGGTTAAGTCCTTTTTTGAGACATTGTTTTGCTAACTTAGCTTCTGACCGGAGCTTTGGACGTTTGGATGCTCATTGCAGCTCATGGTACCGGCGAGGCTGCGGTATCTACCGCGGCCACCAGGGGGCCCCAAGAGCAATTTATTTTTTTCCTTTTTATCCATAAAATAGTGATTTCTACATGCATTATCAAATATTATTTTTAAAAACAAATCACTTCATAGTGAAATTGTGTTTTTGATATTATAATGATATAGAAATTATTATTGCTCCACTGAAGGGGGCCCTTAGGAATCAGCCCTGATGGTTTGCTTGTTCCGTCAAATGAAGCATAGTGCATGTTTGTATTTTGCATTAGATAAATTTTTATGTTCAAATATAGGGTCCTGCCTAGGTTTACCTGCTGGAGCCCAAGAAGTAGTAGCTTCGCTGTGGTATTTAGACATGTGTTCCAACCTGGTCTATTTTTAATATTACTTTTATTATAAGGCAGGCTACCTCCCAGTAGCGCTTCAGTTATGTCAGAATAAAATCAGTTCTATGTCCAATATTAGAGCAGTTAATGTCAAGTTTATTACCTGTGAACGACATAGAGCTTCGTGTTGCGCTCCAGAAAAACTGCAAACATGGAGACTAATATGAACGGCACAATAAACGTGAAAACAGCCACGAATGAACGAGTCCGTAAAGTTGTGCAACTAAACGCCATTATAATAATTAATATTAAGATAAGTGTCACAAATCTGTGCAGCCATCTGAGCTGTGGAGCGGCAGGAGGAGCTCTGTGTGCTGTGACACCAAACACAGGGCCGTAACGCAGAACCTGGAGGCCGGGGGGGGGGGGGGGGGTTTAAAATCTTAGTTTTCCAGACGATACAGGAACACACAAATTAAAGTTTTTTTGTACTGTTGTAACCATTAAACAATTTCCCCTTCAGTTCAACCTTATAAGTGGAGACACATTGTTGATGTTATTAAATAACTTGCAGCTAAGTTATGACAAAGATTAATGTAATTTTCACAGGTGGTGGAGCGTTGTCAGCAGCTGGTGAAAGTAACTAAAAAAGTTACTTTTAATGTAACTTAGTTACTTTTCAAATCAAGTAATCAGTAATCCAAGTTACTTTTTCAAGGAGTAATCAGTAATCCGATTAAAGTTACTTTTTCAAAGTAACTATGCATCCCTATTTGTTTCTGCCAAGACGGTCAAAGAAAGTCCTGTCCTGCTGTGAGACGAGCCGTCTCCCATTCAGACTGGGAATAATATCCAGGAGAACAGGCTCCAACATTGAGCCATTGACCGTTGCTGGGTTGCAACGTCAACTATGCAGACGCCGCTTCAAACGATCCTCCATGACATGCTGGACATGGAGGGCCAGGTGGTCCAGGTGTCTCCGTTTGATCATTAGGGGACCGAGAAATGCCAGAGGCACAAACGGCAACAAAGTTGACCAGGTTACAATTTGAAGGTCTTAATGTCCTTTTTCTGTCCAAAAAGTTAAAGAACAAGTTACACACAGATGTCTTCATTGGAGGTTCTCTCCAAAAGAAACCCTTAACTCTGCAGATATGGTATTTATTGTAGTTGTCAAATCTACAGATGTGGCTTCCAGTGCAACGAATGCTGGGAGATGTAGCCCAATCAGTCCATTTGAGTAAACTGGAGGTCCAACATCCCCTTTAGGTCCAAAGAGTTGGACAGTCTTTGGAGACATGACTGTCCATTTGTCACGCGAACTGAAAAGTCAGTGATCCAAAATGATTTTGCAACTTTTTCCCAGAGTTGCTACTTCATCTAGATCTGCATTTTAAAGATTCTAAAGCTGCTAATTTACAGGATGAAGATTAAACAAACTTCAGTTGGATTATATGGTGTTTTATTTCAGAACCAAAATATTCAAAACTACAACTTTGATCAGAACATTAGTCTCATAAAATCTCACAAGTTTTCTTTTTATAGATCAGAATAATTATTAGAAAGAAGTAGTTGGACAATGAATAGTTTAGTGTCTAAAGTCACTTTAGTCTCTAGTTTTAACATTCTGGATGCAGTCTTCAGATACAAGAGCAGCATCTCATCATCAAAGTCACAGCAGAGAAAACAAGGAGAAGATTCAAACTCAGACAGGCACTTTCAACTACTTGCATACAAATCCAAGAAGAAATAATGAGCTGGTAGTTTTAGAAAGCTGATGTGAGAAGATAAAAACTGCAGAAACAGAATCAGAAAGAGCTGCAGAAATTGATCTGAACTGTTGAATTCCTGCTGAGGATGTTTCCCAGCTCACCTCTCGAGATTCATCAGATCAATGATTCTAATTAACAGGACAGATGATCAGGGCAGACGAGTTTTTACCTCCATCATTAAGAGATGGACTTAAGAATGGGTAGAGTTTCTGAGTGAAGCCACAGCCAGTAAAGGAGTAGATCACATCTACAGCATCTACATCATAGAAGGAGACCAGACCCTCATCATAATCCACAAACACCCCGACCTTCTGAGGACCAGGATGGAGATGGAGACGGACTGAAGGTCCAGCACCAGCTTTGTACTCGTATCCATTTCTCAACCAAAATGTCCAGAAACCGTTCTGAGGCCTGAGGCTGATTGTTCCCTTCCTGTCTACAGACTCTCTGGCCACTCCTAAAGCCCAGTCAGTCTTTCCTTTAACCTGAACCTCAAAGTAAAATCTGCCTGAAGAGAAACTCTG